CTTTGATGCGATTGTCTCATGCTCTGTGTCTTGCTGCTTATTAGTCACTCTGAAATGAGGAAGGATAAAACCAAACCGTGGCCATGTCCAATGCTGGCACATCGTTATAAAATAAAAATAGAAACCCATGCTAAACATAAAAATTAAACTTCTCTGGCATACAGTCACAGACAAAGGTGGCTTGTGACAATAGCATATGGGGTGAGACATGTAAAAAATGGGCAAGTATGGAAAAGGAACCCTTTCACCTACTTTCAGCTCACTAGTTTACTTTCTGAGGGTTGGAGGAAGCATAGTGGCCTAAGTTCAACATGTAACCAGTTGATGGACACATCTTCTTTATAGATGGGCAGAGTTAAGTGGAACTTACAGGGTTAATTTAAACAATTATTTTTTTTGCTACTTACTTTAAGGAATGCTTTTTGTCTGTCCAGAATTGTATTTGTTATTTAAATTTGTTGTGCATTGTGCTGTAGAAACGTAAAAACGAAACCCACGGAACTACAGAATTTATGCCTTGTGAGAGCCCAGAAAAATGCGTATTGGGAGATGGGCTTGAGCTGTTGAAGTGACTGCAAGCACTGAGCAGACTCAGGATGCAAAGGCTGTGAAACAGTTCAGGAGCCAACTGTTTTAAGGAAGGTTTTAGAGATTAAGATTTGTTAATCTCAAAGTTAAAATTGCCTCAAGTACTTTTGTGCCAGAAGGATGCATCTTAAGGGTAAAAAAAATTGTCATCGTTCTCCTAGTTCTTACCTGCCAAATTGTTTGACATGGAACAGATTAAGTGAAGGGGGGGCTGGGGAGAGGAGTTTGGTAGGGGCTTTTGTATTATGTTGAAATGTTGGCTGAACCCTGTGGGGAAAATAAGAGAAAGTGATTTTGCTTTTTGAAAACGTGTAATTGGTGAGTCATTGGCTTTAAACCTTGTTAAACAACATTCAGTATTAGCTATTGTTTGAGTTGTGTGGTGTCTGTTCAGAACAAACAATGCATTGCTCTACCACATAACTCTTCATTAAGCAGTGGGAGTTAAAGTGAACACTGCGTTGCATTCTGGGCTTGGTTCCCTGTGGCATCATGGTGAATTTGGAACATCTAAGTGTGATTGACATTGTTACTAACACTGCAGTCGTGGTTAATAAAGCTGGTCATGGTTTAAAGAAAGGTATTAATGATACTGATTTTTTTTTTCAACAAGTTTATTGAAATAAGCCTTAAGTTTTGTAGATTTGATTTTTGGAGTGCTGAACTTTGTGTTGAGTAAAGCCAGATAGTTAAAAAAACCAACTATTCAGAACTATAAAATCTTGTAATGTTTGTCCAGAAGAAAAAGGTTGATAAAAGAGCCAGGAGAGTTGTCTGAACCTTTAGGCAAGATCTTGATTTGGAGATTGGGGAGCTGTGGGTTTGAAAAGTAAAAATTGTTTCTTGGCGGGTTCATTGTTCCTGTAATTTGTTTTCCATGGTGTCTGCAGTGATTTGTCCCTTGCTGGAGAAGGGAGAAATAATGAAATATTGAAGCGACAGTCTGGGAAACTGTATACTCTTCTATCATTGTGTATCCTGTTCAACTTCCTACGTAATAGTGGTGTGCTCTGTAAATTACCTAGGAGTGTTCCTATTTGTGACTCAAATTACACACACAGGTTGTTTTTTAGTTTTCGTTTGCATTCAGTCTGATGTTGAAACAAAATGATATGTTTGGTAAAGGGCAGCTGAACCAAAAAAGCCCACCACAATCCCCTGGATAATAACAGGTTACTAAACAAGTACTGCAGCAGTCTGTTCATTGTGCTCAGTTTGTGTTACTCTTCTAGTTTTTACAAGTCTCATTTCTTTTCTGATACCCAAACCCAAATATGAAAATTTCTATATTAGAAGTCACCTTCCTTTACCAAATAAACAAGTACTGCTTTGTTTGTGCAATATGATCAAAATTATAATCAAACATGTTTTATGCAAGTTCTTTTGAAGGTGTGCTTTCCCAAATATGATTTTTAAAGGATTAGAGTGATAGAGTGGAGTCATAGGATTTCGTGATGTGGAAGGGGTCCACAACAATCACCCAAGTCCAGCTCCTGGCCCTGTACAGGACAACCCCAAGAATCACATCATGTGCCTCAGACCATTGTCAAGATGCTGTGTTAAGATTTTTTTTTTTTTTTTTTATGTTGAGGTCTTCTTTTCTGCTTTTGAAGACTTCAGCACAATCCAAAAGAAAAATTGAGCAGGATGCAGAAAATTCAGAGGAAGATCAGTGGAATGAATTCTCTTTACACTTCCTCTGGAAATAGAAATGTTTTAAATACACTGTGAAAAAATCCTACCAATAAAAAGTAGGAAAAATAGTATAAATCCCCAAGTCAGAATGTACATTTTACACTTTGGTTCTAGTTATCATTTGATGTTGTTACATGGAAAAATCAGTGTAAATGGAGCTGATTAGAAATACTGATTTCAAACGTTACCTCTGCTTGTTTTAGCCTCTGCCTGTTGTATGCTTTATAGAGCACAGATAGTACTTGTTCAAACACATCTTAGTTCCTTGCTTTGTAAAAATTCATTTTCAATTGCATTGTGTGCATGTAATAATTTTAAGGCCATTTAAAAAAATCTGGGAGCACCAAAAATAAGCTGCACAGTAAAACAAGTCATTCTTAAAGACTGCTCCTGGATTTAAAAGCTTTGTAGTGTCTTAGCAGAGCAACACAATGTGTGAAACATAGGCAATCAGACACTTTGGAAGCATTGAGTAAGTCCTTGGTTCCTGGGGTCCTCATTTCAAGTCAGAGATCGTAAAATACTGAATAAGATATGAATCTAAGGGAGCTGATTTTTTCATTAGCTCTGGTGTTTTCTGACTGAGCTATCTGCATTCCTTCACAGTCAGGAGCAGGTTACACATGTTACTGAATGGCAGGAACCAAAGAGATACTGCATTCAGTTCAATGGTCAGTTAAAATGGTCAATGGTTAGTTAAAAACACCAAAATTATGTGTACTTGTGTGTACACACAGACATTTCCCAAAGTCATTCAGAGCAGTAGGAAGATCCTGCCAATTCTGTAGATGAAGGCTGTTGCTTTAGACTCCTTTTCTTTATAACACAACTTCTGTGCCTTGCATTTCTCGCTATCATCTTGTGGGGTTTTGGCTCTTGTGCTGGATCTTTAGGGGGTGTGTGTATTTGTTAACATAAAAATTTCCTTTTTGTTCTTCTTTTTGCCTTCTTTGGCAAACGTTCCTCCACTGGAAGTGGTAAAATGTGTGGGAAAGCTGAGGATTTTTGTATTGAGAATAGCTCTTGAAAATGCTGGTTAATTCTTCTGTATCTACTGATCAGAAATCAGAAGAGGAAAGCAGGGTTTGTGCTGGATCTCAGTAAAAGACATTTATACTACATGCTAGTAAGCCCAGCCACTAGGGGAAGATGGGGACATGCATCTCCTGAAGGTCTCATCCTGCCCCACATACGGCCAGGCTGGCACACACTGAGTGGGCAGGAGGGATTCATAGTCATCACGTAACTTGCTGTTGATGTGCGGTGTTACAGCATGGTTGGGTTGTCATGTTTGGGGCCTGGTTCATCATGTTTGGGTTGAGCTGAAGATTGCTCAGGAAAGTGGTGGAAGTAGAAGTCTACAAATCAATTCATTTGGCTGTCAGTGTGCCAAGGGCCTTTAACAATATCTCCACCTCTACCACAATGACAGAATATATTTTCTCTGTGCTGTGCCACAGGAACAGTACACTTCTTTTTGGTGAGTCTTCATTTAGTGCATCATACCTGGAAAAAAACAACCAGAATGATTTGTAGACCATGCAGTGGTGATTGTATTCAACTTCACTTAATTTCAAATTAGCATCCAAATAACTTGTATTTGCCACACTCTTCTTAAGACCATTGAATTTAAGGTTGTAAAGTGTTTGCTTGTCTACTCGGTTATGTAGTCAAGAAACTTAACAAAGTTTTTTTGACTGAACTTACACAATTTACTTTTATTGCTTTGGGTAGTTGGTGCTTGTTCAGTCTGGTGTTCTGGTGAGCTCACTGTAACCATTAAGTCTTCAAATGTGTTATGGATATGGAGAACTCAGACTTCTAATTAGAGCTTTCTCCATATGCACACCCCAGGTATACATTGCAGTAACTTCTGCTTTTTATTAATACTTAGCCTGGGACAAGGTAGTGCTTGCAAACAGGAGTTGCTTAGGGGAGAGTTGTGTGGGGTTTTTTGTTTTAATTTTTTTGGGTGGGGGTGGGTGTTTGCGTTTTTTTTGGGGGTTTTTGGACTTGGGGTTTTTGGGGGGTGGGGTGTTTCTTGGGGTTTGCTTTTTTTTAAATACCTCACTCAATCCTTGATGTGTTTGTATTCCAAGAATGAGGTGTCATTTCACTCCTAAGACAAAAAAAGTATTGTAGGAAAATCTTCTTTTTCAGCAGTATGACATGTGGAAACTCAAGATAATGTAGCCCGTAGCCAGAGAACTTGTATATAACTTGATGAATTTTGACATATTGCTTTGTGGAAGAATCTGTTTGAAATTAATAGGCTATAGTTTTTTAAAAGTGCATTTAAACACTGTAAGATCTAGGCAGTGTTAAATAACTGAGAAAAATCTGGATGTTGTAATATTGTTGACTAATACGTTTAAGTAATTATAAAGAAAATGGTCATGGAGTAGATGCTATAGGTAAACAACACATGGTGGTCTGTTTAAAGTGGAAGCCCTCATATAATGGTTGCTTCTGCTAATGAGAATATAGATAATCCCCCCACACTTACCCTTTCTTGAAAGGATACAAATTGTTGTTTGCTGTAGGCAGAATGAAGACAAGCTGTTCAGTGTTTGCATTGTAAATATTAAATATTAAGAACAGCATGTATCTGGTTCTGAAATATGTGGGAGCCTTGCAGTAATGTCAAAATGTATATGTTCATCTGAAATTTTGCTTATTTGCTTGATTGTGACTGGGATTTTTTTTTTTTTCTTTAGGGAAACTGTATCAATCTGACTGATGCCTTGACTCTGTATGAAGAACAGCTTAGCAGGCTTTATTGTCCTGTGGAGTTTTCAAAAGAAACTGTGTGTGTTCCCTCCTACATGGAATTGTATCCTTAAAGACTGAAGAAGGCTGGAGAGTGTGTATTAATAAATCAAACAAGCATAGCTTGTTTGGAGGTAATGAACTCAAGCAAAAAGGCAGTTCTGATTTAAATATTTAATGTTTTTTTCATAGTAAATGAACTATTGCAGTTTTATTTTGAAGATAATTGTAGGAATTGTTTTCTAAAAGTGCTGTAAATTCACAGCTGATAAAATTATCAGTACCTTTAATGCATAGGCTGTGTTTTTGCTAATGTTTTTGAGTGGTGTATGTGATGTAGGATAAACTGTGCGATAAGGGTAATGCTGCCTGGAAGTTCTGACAAGGCTGTATCTTCTTACTTTCTTTTCTTCTTTTACTGAAATGAGAAACTAACATCATACAGATTAGCATGATCCAGATCTGTAGATATTATCTGATAGAGCTGTTCTTGAACATAGAGCTCAGACTTTAAGGCTGGGAAATGGGGAAGAGTGATTCCTAACTAGTTAGTGTTACTGGAAAAAAATATTCCAAGTAGATGGGCATGCATCTTCTCAGCAACATCCCATTCCTAAAAATAATCCTTTGGAATTTCTTTAATTTGTGGGTGGTAAAGAAGTTACATAAGGAGCCTGGAAGTTTAAACTTCAAGCCCTTAGTGTGAGAGGGGCATTTTGATCTGCTGTAAGGTGGTTCTGCCATCTACATTTGCCTTGAGTGTTTGCTGCTTTTGTGGCATCTCCCTGGAAATGTTTCTGCAGAGTGAAGCCTGCTGTGGCTGTCTCTCTTGACAGGAAACATCTTCCCACAATCTTCTTGTTCGTAATGCATTAAGCACACGCTCCTGCCGCAGCCCTTCTTCTGTCGTGTGTGCTCATTTGCCTCCCTCCTGTGTCTCTAAGCCTGGCAGTGCTCGCTGCTGCAGCCCCATACTCACCCTGTACTGACTCCAGACTGCCTATAGCCAGCTCCTCCTGCTTCTCATTATTGGCAGCTCTTTGTGAAATCCAGATTTGACCTTGCATTTTCAAGAATAAAGAATGTGAAGGATATCAAGACACTTGCCCTTAAAGGTTACAGTTTCAGAGAAACTGGTTACTTTTGCCTTTATGACTGCCAGGCCTTAATGGAACATGTATGTGTTTTCAAGAGTAGGCATCTTTGAACTGCTGAGTCAAGTGGGGAATCCAGGTAAATTTCACTTTTGAGTGTTTCCCTATCCTTTATGAGCTACCAGAAGTTTTCAGAATTTGAATATAAGTAAAAAGAACTGCATTTGAACTGTGTACAAGTGTTGCCTTTTTTCCTTAACTACTTATTTTCTCCAGATGGGTATTCTACACGATTTGGAAGAAACAGACTAACATCTGAGCATCAAGATTATTTGAGATGATCCTAAATGTACATGCTGCATGGAGCATATAGGCCTGCCACATGCTGCATATTGGCATCTTGAACCTTTAAATTATATATGCTGTAGATGATCCTGAAACTTAGTCATGCTATTGATTGTGAATTCTTTAAATGTTTTTTTATTATTATTTTAATTTAAAAGCAAATGGAAAATGTATATTTTGACGAGCTAGGGTATTATTTTTGAAAGTCAACTTAGATGAATAAGCAGCAAAACTATATAGCTGCTGACTGCACTGAACCTTTAGAATGTGATCCTTTTTATTTTTTGTAGATCTTCGCAAACTGGTTGATTAAAAAAGACATCTTTAGCATTTCATCCCTGAAGGATGGTCCATGGAGTTTTTGTTGTTTTTGCTTTTCCAACAGATTTGTCATTTATGGTGCTTTTTAAAAATGGGTGAGGGTTTTTGTGTGGTTTTGGTTTTTTTAAATGAACACTGCAATGCTTCCATACGGCAAAAGGGCATAACTAAAAAGAAAAAAAATCTTGTGGGAGAATACTCCAAGTCCTTCGTTGACAAGGGAAGAATGCCAGTCTTAAATTTTTATTTACCCTAGCAATTCATCACTGCTGTAATCTCTGCTGCAGAAGAATCTTTGACCTTTTACCTCCTGGATTTTTTTAGTTGCTGCCATATTGATTATTTGGATTCTGATATGGATTTGACAGTAGCTTTGTACTGAAGCATGAAGATCAAGGATAGGTTTTCATTCCACCATGGTGCAAGAATTTGGGTGTAATGGGGTTCATGTGGGCATATCCTCTCCCCAGCCTTATGGGAAGCACTAGATTTTTGAAGTAAAAGTTGGCTTAGAGGATGAAGAAATGTGGGTGTGATATGATCTATCTTTATGTGCACCTGTACTGAATGTTTTGAAGTGTGTGTGTGCTTCAGTAGGGTCAGTGCTGGTTGTATTGCCACAGATGGGCCACATTGTGTGAGGCTCTTGCTCAGTTAGCTTCACTTGCAGTGTAAAAATCAGTAGAAGCTGGGGTGCCTTGTAGTTCTGTTCTGAAAGAAAATGCATTTTTCTTCAGCAGTTTCTCATGCTATCAAAAGTTATATTTTTGTAAGAGTTTGCTATGTAGTGACTAAAATATTTGTGCTTAAAAATCCCACTTGAAAGGAGGTAGTAAAGATATGACCAATATGTGCATTTTTTACTTTTCCAGGGTAGAATAAAAAGTGCACTATTTCCCTGAACACTCTAATCCTGAGCAATGATGTTTCACCATATCAACATTTTCTTAGTTCTATTGGAGAGAGTTGATTTGCCCTGCCAATATACTGTTAATGAAAAAAAGTACAAAAGCTGTCCTTTGTTTCTAAACCATACATAAAGAAAAATGTTATTGCATCCCACATATATGAACTCTTCCTAGAATCTGAGTAGCCTATGCAGAATTCTAGAATGACTCGAAAATCTGCCAAAATTTGCTTTTTCTTTGGCCTTTAGTTGGTCTAAATGTTTTTGGTTTCGATAGCCAATAGAAGCATTTTTCAGTCTTACTATTTTAAACTATCTCAGTTAATTCTCTAATATACACAGGGCACAGTTCTTCCATGGCCTGCAGCTTGTGAATCACTGAATACTCCCAAAGAACAGAGCTTCCCTCTAATAGAATAAAGTTTCCTATATTTCTCTGAGTGTTCTAGGTCTGTTGTAGACATCCCAGAAAATACTTTGATATTATTACCTGTAATCTAATAGAGACTCTTCATTTATGATCCAGGACTGCAGATGAATGCAGATATCCTGTAAACAGTTGTATCCATAACTGTGCAAGCATGAATATTTCCATTGGTTCTTAGTGTGATTAGTTATGTAGATGAAGTGAAGCCCACAGGGACAGAGCTCAGAGCATCTGTGTTCCTGAGTGAGCTTGGCAGATGCAGAAATCAGTCACAACAGGTGGGGGTGGTTTGGTTTTTAGCAAGGAAACTCGTGAACTAGAAGATGACTTAATCTGCTCGTTGTGCCGGGGCTTGTCCTTCCCTTTGGTATCGCTGCACAGGGAGCTGCTGGATGTGCAGGGATGTTCTGTAAAGATTCCCAGAATGACCAGGGGACCTGAATTGCATATTAATAACTGAGAGACAGCAGTGCTTGCAAACTTTTCAACTAATAGAGTAGGAAGAGAGTTGGAAGAATTATCTTTTTTCTTTAACTTTTTTTAACGTAGTGTTTCGCAGTGATAGATGCAGTATAAAGCAGTTCAGCAAACACTGAACATTATATTTTTTTAAGTTGCTGAGTTGATTTGGAGCAAATATATATACACATTGTTAGTCTTTATTTATTTGTTGCTGTAGTATAGATTTTTTTAAAAGAAAAACAAGTCTGTGTGGTAGAATTTTCAAATACAAACTGCTATAGCTGATCAATTTTCCATGTTTAAGGGCAGTTGGGAAATGGCTGTGATTGCTGCACTATGTATGCAAACAGTTCCCAAGACATGGTTACATTAGAGGTTTCTTAATTATTCTTTGCACTAAATGCTGCTTCCACGTAGAAGTTATTGATTGATAGTAGTTTGTGCAAGGAGAAGACTGCTGGCATTGTATCTACTGCATCAGTGCAGTGCACGTGTTAAAATAAAGGTACGCTGTCATTATTTGTGTGTTTGAATTGTTAAATCCATTGTGGACTCTGTGTTCATATGACAGAATTGATGGGTATGATGATTGCCATTGTACCTCCTCTTACCTTGTTGCATAAAGGTACTTCCTGGTCCTTTTATTGAGTATCTTTTCTGTCTCAGAGTAATAAATTGTTATTTTCCATATAATAAATGCTCAGGTAAGATACTCTGTATATGGAACAGTGCACTGTTATTTGTAATGGGGGGAATCACTTGAGGCTTCAGTGATATTTGTCTAGAAAGAGTTAATTTTCTGCCAAACATTTTAGATGTGAATGCTTTGATGGTCTCTTAAGTGGAAGTTTGAGTTTTTCTACTAAAGCAGGGAGTTGGCTTTAGGTGACAGTGTGACTCATTGTGTGGCACAGAGAAAAGACAGGCTTAGGAGAAGTCAGTGTGACATTGAGAATGATGGAAACTAGCACCGAAGTTTAGGAAACAGGGAGAAGGGCACAAACAGGATGGGTGCATTAAAGAAGTTATTAGTCTTTCCAAATCACATGTCAGAATAATGTCATACATTGAAAGACATTACTCCCAGAAAATATAGAGATTTACATGAATTCCAGCTAACTGGAAAAGAGAAGTATTCACATCTGCATGAAGTACAGTGATAGCAGAAAGTTTGCTAGTAGGGAGAAAGAAAAGGGGGAAGTCTTAACTTTGAGGGGAAAAAAGTCTCACACATAGAGTAAGAATAAGGAGTAATTTTGGAGCGCCTGCGTGCACGGTAGGGAAGATAGGTATCTTGGGTTTTTATTTTTGCTGTTTGAGAGTTTGAGGTGTTGACAGCTTGCTGGAGGGAAGAAGGTGAGGGGATGGGTGAGAGGAAGAGAATTCAATTTCTTATTTTAATTGAGGAACAGGAGACTGCAGATGATGTTGCCTGTGGGTAATAGGAGAAAGCTGACAAACTTTGCCCACAGAGAGAAGAGTAGTTGGAGTCATTAGAGATGCCGAGGGAGCAAGTGAGAGAAGTAGCAAAGTAAGCAACTGCTGCAGTGATTAATATTCATAGCACTGAGCAGCTCAGAAGTGCCTTTTTGAAATGTGGAATGCTTTAGGAAGCAAGGAATGAGGAATGGGAACTGCGAGGATATGAAAAAGTTCATGCTGTGATCATACATTGCAATGAACTTGAGCTTCAGAGGTGGAAGTGGAGAAGGTAGAAAGAAGGAAAAGTAAAATGTGAAATTAACTTCATAATTGGAAGTTTGATGAGAAGTATTCCTGTGCAGTGTCAAGAGTGGAAAGGGTGCAGGGGCAAGAGGCATTAAGTTGAAAAGGAACTGAGGAAATGAGCCAGGATGAGGAACCAAGAAAAAGGACAACACAACAGATGTGGTGTGGGAATTTGGGGAACACATCTGGACATACAAAAAAGTGCCAGTCACACTGCCCAGCCTGTCCTCTGATGGTATTGGATGGAGAAGGAGGAGAAATTGGAAACATTTGGGTTTGTTTTGTTGTTGGTTTTTTCTAACTGAGTAATGAGTGCAAGATGTCTTCTAAGTATTTTCGAAGGAAAAGAGCTTAACTGCTGGAAATTAAATGAAGACTAAAAGGAAACTTCATATTAAGGAGTGTTTAAGGGTAGACTGATTACTGAAGCAAATAAATACAAACTTCATGAAGTCCAGAGGCAAGGCAGCTGTGGGATTTAACTGTCATGGATTGTCACTGAGCATGGAAGGGAGGAAGGCAGGAAGATACCAGTGGCATCTCTGTTGTCTTCAGCTCCAGGAACTGGAAATACTGATCAGAACTGGCAAATGTATGGTAATAACTAAAAAGCACTGCTACAGCCATCTGACTTCAACATGCCGTGATAACTTTGTGTGTTACTTGAGAGGAAATTCTCATCAATGTTGAATGCACAGCACAATGTGCCATACTGCCTTTGCTGCACCCAAATACAAAAGTACTTTATTGGTGTATAATGGAAACATTTTAATGCAGCTGTTCTTTGTATAGGTACAGAAATGCACCATGGAAAACAATGGTTTAGTAGATGGGAATAACAAAGATGAGTGTGTACAGCTCTGTGAAGACTTATTGTTCTGGTAGTTGATAATGTTATCTAACACTTCCCCGTTTAACTTGAGTTAATTATCAGACCTGATGGGTTTGATTTTAAAAACTATTTTTATTCCATGCTTTGTCCTGGTTCTGCTCTTAAGCTCCTCACTGGGACATTCTGTGTGAAATTATTTCCTAGTGATTGGCATGTAGCACTTAGGTGTTTTCAATGATGTTTTATAACCACTGGTTAGTTAATTGGGGTGGAAGGATGACAGGTTTCTTTCAGGAAACAAATTTTTGACAGCTCATTGTTTAAAATGAAGACTGACAGAATACTTACAGGATCATGCCATGACTTTTCTTTTTAGAAAGGGCCAAATACTGTTAGAAATCTTCACTTGTGTCTTGAATTAAAATGTTTATACTAGGATGGTAAAATTCTTACAGTATATATAACAGTTAAATACTAAGGAAAGGAAAATTATCTGCTGGCATTTTCTGGAGCTTATTTGCAGACAGCCATGTGGCTTAAGTTGTAGTCTAGATGCACTTAATAGAGGCATGAAGATAATAAAGAATTAACCTAATACTGCCAACACTAAACCGTGTCCCTGAATGCCATATCTGCTCCATAGATGGTGACTCATCTGCTTCCCTGGACAGCTTGTTCCAGTACTTCACAATGCTTTCAGTGAAGAAAATTGTTCTTAATAGCCAGTGTAAGCTGCCTCTGGTACTAAGTGAGGCCACAGGCTCTTGTCCTACTGTTTATTACGAGGGAGAAAAGAGTGACCCCACCTCTCTACAACCTCCTTTCAGGTGGTTACAGGGAGCAGTAACGTCTCCCCAGTCTTTTTTCAAGACTAGAGAAAGTGTCAGCTGCTCCTCCGAAGGTTTTCCTCTAGGGTCCCACAAGTGAGCCCCACAGGCCTGTAGAGGCCCCTGAGTTACTCTGTTCCTGCCTGTCAGACCTTCACCCACTGCTGGCGCCTCACCCACCCCTGGATGCAGTTTGATGGCTTCTGAGAGATGGCCTTGTGTACAGACTCTTCTGTTTGCTTTTTTTTCTGCACTGCACAGTAGAAGTGTTGCCTTTGTCTCCCAGGCAGCTGCAGAGGTTGCTCGTGGTGCAGGTAAATGGGTGTCTTTGGCCCAGGTCTCTGGGCCTGGGAGCAGTGAAACTGCAGATGGGCTGAGAAGTGACACAATGCTGCACAGTGGAGTTGGGAACAGCCCTGTGAGCAGCAAGGTGAGAGGAGGAGGGGAGAAAGCACGGCAGGCATCAGAGGAGAGATTCATTCCCCTGCTGCCTTCGTAGGGCTCCAGTGGAGAATGGGCTTCCCTGCAGCCCTTGGAGGAGCTAGGCCAGAGTAGGGATCCACACTGCTCTCCATAGGACTTGCACTGGGGCACGTGGCTGTTCCCTGAAGAAACTACAGCCCCTCTGGCAGCAGGTTTATCCTGAAGGCCCTTGGGTGGGATCCCACTCTGGAGCAAGGGAAAAGTGTGTGGAAAATGGAGCAGCAGGGTAGAGTTGGTGGTAGTGACCGAGCACAGCTCGGTGCCTTGCACCTCTCAGGGGAATGGGGCAAGGAAGGGGTGAATTTGAATCCAAGAAAAAAGATGGGGTGTGAGAGGTGTTTAATCTTTGTTGCTCGCTTCCCTGCATTTTTAACTGGCAACATATTGAACCAGTTTGGTAACTGGTAAAATGATGAGTGGAATAGAAACTCAGCTGGAAGGAACATCTAGAGCAAAAAGAAGTATCTAGTCCAGCTTCCTGATCACCTCAGGGTGACCAAAAGTTAGAGCATGTTGTTAAAGGGCATTACCCAAATGCTTCTTAAATGCTGGCAGGCTTGAGGCATTCACCACCTCTCTAGGAGGCCTGTAGGAAGGACATTTTTCTGAGGTCTCCCTGGAACACCTTCAACCTTTAAAAAAACAGGTGATACATTAGGTATGACTGGGAAAACAAGAGAGGAATTTAGTGCTCTTCTGGGTAAGTAGGGCAGGAGACAGCCTTATTAAAATTGAGGAGTCCAAACCATTTTCAAGTTGCTGACTGCTTAGCCTGGAGGCATGAAAATATTAACAACTTTTGGAACTTCTGGAACAATGAAAGAGGTTGTTCTCTTGAGCTAAATCTACGAGCCAAACTACTGCCGAACCTTTGTATTGCAGTGTGTGTTTTCAGCCTAGGGGCTGTGCTAGAACTATTTTAAGGGCTTGCTCCCAATACAGACCAAACCCTTTAGGTTTGCTGAAGCTGGAAGGTAGAGTCCCTCTTGTCCCCTGTCTCTCTAAACTTCTGTTTCTAGAAGTGCTGCAAATGATTATGAGATGTATGGAAGTTGAATTAGCTGTAACTTCTCAAAGATAAATTCAAGACTTTCTTGACTGGAGTGTTTTCTAAGATCTGTTTAACCCAGTCCCCCCAGTGTTGCAGCTTATGGGAGAGGGTTGCTGTGGAGTAATTTATTCCACTAGCTGTGCTAAGTGAATGGTCCCAGCTATCTCTGCCCTCTCATTGCTTTGGCCTCACCCTGTGTTGTCCCCTCTTCCATGAGAGTTTCAGGGAGCTCTCCCATGGCTGTGTGACAAACCAAGTGGGTTAAAAACAAGCAAGCAGAGATGTTAAAGGGAAATGGGAAACTGATATTGCTCAGCTACACTGCTGAAATGAATGGACAAAAAAAGCTGTCTGTGCTTCAAATAAACCTGTCTGGCTCCTCATGTGCTGGCAGACCTCAATGGTGAGCAGGAATTGGAACTGGTGGTGGGATTGAGAAGCAAGTCACACCAGGTGTAGAATATTGGAAAAATGTTTAAAGTAAAGGCTGCAGAGCATCGTGGTTTATACTTGCTTTAGAAATACGGAGAGGAGTTGTTAAGGGGGCTACCTCTTGGTTTTTTTCCTGTCTTTTTCTGATCCCATCTACTGAATTACTTATGGGTCCTTTCCAACTAAAGATATTCTATGGTATTTTGATTTCAGTCATCCAGAAGTTTCAAATCATTTGAACTTTTGACAGCACGTAAAAGGTTAGCTAGTAACTTTGATCTAGTGGGAATTAAAAGCTTTATCTGGGTCAGTACTCTGCTGGTGATGTAGCTTTGTAGGGGGATGTGTTGTTTTTTGGTTTCTT